AAAAAAAAAAAAAAAAAAAAAAAAAAAACAACCCCAAAACAAAACAAAAAAAAATTTAAATTCATGAGCCTCTGGTCATTGGGAATACCCTGACTTACCTGAGCAAGTGTCTGTTCTGTGACTGGCAGCTGCTCGAGTCAGGGGCCTGTTGGATAAATGCACCGTTCACTTAACCTCATACCGCGTTGCTAGTTCCAATGTGTTGGCTGTTGCTTGCGTTGAAACAAATATCGTTTCTGCATACCTGAAGTGCATAAGCCACTTGATGGCATAAGAACTCATCAGTCCCCCCCTTTCTGCTTTGATGTAATCGTACTTGTTTTCTTGCATAATTAACAATGGTCAGTCAGTTTTGCCGAAATCAAGCCTTCTAATAGCAGCCCTGAGCTGACTAAGTCCTGTCAGCCTTGGTGCTATTAGAGGTATAAAGTGCTCTAATGAAATGCAGAGGTATAAAGACTTAATGAAATGCAGAAAGCTCAAGGTCAGGTGCTGCTGCAGTTAAGGAGCAGGGTAAGTGCATAGCATGTTTTCCCAGGGCCCCAGCTGTGCTCAAAGATGGTGAGTGCTCTTCGTTCCCCTGGAAAAGCAGAGCTGTTTGTCATAGAGGAGTCCTGATCCTGGGGGACTGAATCATAGAAGTGTGGAGAAATTGATCTGGAAGAGACCTCCAGAGGCAGGATTGTCCCCATCCAAACCATCCTGTCCAAATCCATAATCTAACCTCTTAGCAAAACTACCATCAACCCTGACACAACCCCTGAACTTACCCTAGGGAAAGCAAGGGAAACACAGCATCCAGTGTCATACTTCTATAAAAGGCTGTTGATATACTCTCAAGGGATCCCAGATGGAGGGCCATGCACCCTGCTACAGAGGAAGATAAAAAACCCTACAGTCCATACCAATCTGGCCGTGGGGTAAAATTCCTTCCTGACTTCAAATATGGCAATTGAAAGTTTTCCCAAGACCTGGACGTGGGCGGCAGGACTCTGTCACAAGAGATTGGAGTGTCCAGAGCCTCCGTGTATTCAGAGCAAAATGCCAGACCCAGGTCTCCAGCAGCGTTGCCTCTGCACTCCTCTGTCTCTGACAGCTATGCAAGATGCTTGAATGGAGATGAGCCCCAGAGACAATATCGAAACTAATTTTGCAGATGGGAGGAAAGAGTGCACATTTCTGTTTTGACTATGCGTGTGTCTGAGGGGAATAGGGGAGAGTTATACGCCAGAGAGAGCTGTATATATTCCCTCCTGCTTGCAGACACTGTAGGAGGGCCTAGGGCAGAGGGGGCCGTATTTCCCTGAAGGATTGCTGGCTCCTCAATGCTTTTGGCAGTGGGCTACTGAGGAGTGTGTTCCTCTGCTCTTCCCTCCTGTTGCTGGTGGCGTGGGGATGTGTTGGGGCTGGGCTGAGACCTACCAACATGCTCACATGGGCTGTCAAAAGGCAAGCGGGTCTGAGGTTTCAAAGATGTGTCCATACTACTCATGCCTCTCCCTCTGACTGCATAGGCCTGAGAGCAGCAAGAAATCCAAAAAGGAGAAGAAGAAAAAGAAGAAGAAAAAGCATAAGAAGGAGAAGAAGAAGAAGGAAAAGGAGAAACATCACAAGAAAGAGACTGCCGCCTCTTCTTCTGCCTCCTCTCCAGACCATGAGGAGAGGTACTAATACTGCCACCTTTGCTCACTGCACTCTTTTCATCATGGCAGTGTCTAAGGCCCCGGTGCTGGGGGCAAGGCCGGGAAGGATCATGTAGCCTGACCTCGTGGGTAGCAAAGGCCAAAGAGCTTCAGCTGGGTCCCCCTGGGGTGGGATCCAGTCCTGGGGCAGAAGGTTGTAGTCTGAGGTTTAAAATGTTTCCTGCAGTCCTTGTGCTGAAGGTGCCTTGGTGGTGTGGACTGCAGCATCCCCTTCCCCATCCAGGAGAGGCTGGTGGAGTGTCGTCGAGAGCTGGAAGGCTGTACCAGGGCCTTGTTGCTCTAATGGTTAATCTTCCTGGGGCTGGACTCTTTGCAGGACAGCGGTGTGATCTCTTCCTAGCTGCTCCATGGCTGGCCAGCACATGCTGCAGTACCTCAACCTTGTGATACCTGTCCCAGTTCTCCCTGCTTGTATGCACGCCGGGTGCTGTCTGCAGGGCTGGAAGGGAGCTCTCCAGATTTGTCTGTGGAAAATGTCCTGGGCTGAAAGCTGAGGAGAGTGAGGGGTGCTTAGCACGAGGCAGCAGTGTTCCTGCAAAGCTGCCTGGTAGTAAAAGGATCCTTCAAGGGAACCATCAAGACCGGATTGCCCAGACGCACTAAGGCCATCTCCCCAGCCTCTCCCACAATCACTGGCCGTGTATTGTCCGCTCCTGAGGTTTTTTCCAAATTGCTGTAGGTAAATAGCTTCTGGGCCCCCAGTTGTGGTAAGCAAACCCTTTCCCCAGTCACCACAGCAGGTTTGAGTTGGCTCTACCACCCTAGCCAAACTCCAGGGAAAATCTCCATCACTTTAGACTTCTTTTTCTCCAAATACTCTCTGCGCACAAATTGTATACGAGATCTTTTAGCCTACTACACTGCCTGTAAATATCCAGAGGACACGGCATGCTGCCCCCATCATTTCCGATGATGCTCTTGGAGTGGGTTTGTAATCTAATGCCATCTTCCCAACCAGCCGACTGATTGCCAAGGCAGGCTGAGGGTCTCATGTCCTGTGGCAGTGGGCAAGGTAATTTCTGGTATCATGGGGAACCAAACCACCTTGTATTTAGCACTTTAAAGGAAAAGCTGCTGCTTTAAGAGTAGTTAAGCACACCCACTGTTTTCCCCCACCCCCCTGGCAGGTAGAGAAGCCACGTTTGGGATATCTGATATGGTATAGCATAGCCTGTAAGCTTTACGGAGAAGGCATCTTCTGTTCAGTGTCTGTGTGGAGCCCAGCACAGCTTAGCTGGTGCAGCGTAAACAGGAGCTTGATCCTGCTCACACTCTCGCACTATTTGCATTACTCCTGGGTTATGCCGTAGTTGATGGCATAAGGAAAGAGCAACACTAATGTAAGTGAGTTTAGGATCCCTGTGAAGAGGGCAGGGGTGGGACTGATGGCTTCTCTAGTGGTCCAGCTAAGTGGATGGTATAGGTGTACTGCTCCCAGCTAGCTGTTCTGCATTTTTAGCTGCGCTTGCCAGTTCTTCTCACATGAGGGCACTGTGAGACCAGAGCTGCCCCTCTCCTCGGGTGAGGGACAGTGTCTGGGCAGTCCCAAAAGCAGAGCTGCCACTCATGCTGACTTCCTGACCTTCCCCACTGCAGTAGCTCACTCCCGGGAAGTGGATGCAGTCAGGCTGGGTGCTCTCCACAGGCCAACTCAGTCCCCAGGGGATCTCTGTGCAGTGTAGGAAAGCCCTTTAGTGCTGACCTGGCTGCAGGGACTGCGCTGGCTGTGCCAACTGAGTGATAAGCAGAGTCCTGCTGAGTCGCACCAGTCCCCTGGTTGAGCTGCGCCCCGCATGGCTGAGCAAGGGGGAACCATATAGAGTCAGGGGCAATGCAGCCCATGCTTCCCTGGCAGCTCTGACTCTAGCTTGTGGTTCAGATGCTTACAGTAACCCACATGGTGACGGCAGCAAATGCCTCATGGTATACTTCTGCCAAAACCTGGCGGTCCCCTGAACGGGAGGTCTGTGGAGAGCAGCAGCTGTTAGCACATGGCATCCAGGGTGACTTTCTTATGCCAGTGCTGCAACGTGCAAATCGGCAAGGTTGCCCCTCCAGGCCTCCCTGGTATTCAGAAGCCCATGGTAAATGGACATCTGATTAATACAGCTGTCTTGCTCTCGCTTCTGTCTGGGAGCCTGACACTGGAATGCCATTAACCCCGTCCGCAGCATTAACAACACAGCAGGAGGGAGCGGTGGTGGGGAAAAATATCCCCCACCCCCAAGCACTCTTTTTTCCCTGGTCAAAACCTATTCTGTTAAAGGTGTAAATCCAAGGTGAACGTGGGAGTACCATGTTGATCTCAGTGTTGCTCCTTGGCAGAGTCTGGCCTCTGGGTGCATCCCGGAGCAGGCTTAGTGGGTGGCACCTGGCCTTAGCCCTAGGGCAGGACAGTGCATTCCCAGGGGGGTGTTTTCTGGGGCTCTGTTCCCCACGGGAGAGAAGATGGGACAGGGCAGGACTGTTCCCTTGGCTACGTGCCCTCTATGCCAAGAAGCCTCATGGCGTTGCATTCTTGCAGAGCGTTTGGGGACGAGCCCCCCCGCTCCGTGTCCATCCGTCTCTTGTTCTGCGGGGCCTGCTCCATGGGGGCCATGAGGTTAGCAGCGTGACGATGTGCCCCGTCCTGTCTGTTACAGGAGGAGGAGGAAAACCCCTTCCCCCAAGGACCATTCATCATCCTCCCAGCGGGCTGGAGCTGGCCGCCGTGACAGTCATTCATCACCCAAAGCAGAGACACAGAGATGGCCCAGCAGGCGACGGCATGACACAGACTCCTCCAGCAGCCCCCCTCGCCGCCCAGCTCACAGGAGGGGCAGCAGCGACAGCCCCAGCCGCCATTCACCCCCAGCAAGGAAAAGGAGCGGAAGCAGGACCCCTCCCGCACGCGGCGCCAAGCGGCGGCACGACACCGATTCAGACGACTGATTCGGGGCAGGCAGGGGTGGGGGTCCAGCGCTGCGGTCGCCTTGTTTCACAGGGATCCTGTCTGGATAACAGTGATGAGGCCAGACCTCTAGCTGATGCAAGCCAGTGCAGCTCGGACCTTACTGTGTGACCCCAGGCCTCTGAGTGGCTCTCGAGCTTCCCCAGCTGAGGGTCTGGCCCGGGGATTTTTAATGCCCGTGTCTGTTATCAGTTTGCACCTTTTGGATGGTGCCAGCAGCTGTTAAAGCACAGATGCTTTCGGTAGGGCTGCCCTGATGTGCTCTGCCGGCTGGGGTTTGCAGGGAGGGAATCATTCTGCATTGTAGGCACTTACCCTAGCAACAGTTCTCGTTTGCGGCTGGGACAGTGCCCATACTGGAAGGATGGTGCTGGTAACACATCTAAGATAGACTAGCTCTTGGGCTAAGATAGATGAGCTCTTGGCCAGGGATGCTGCCCTGCTCTGGTCTTTGGCTCTCTGACTCTCCTGAGAGATCCCAGCCATGCTAGGATCTTCACCCAAGGGTGACAGGATCACAGTCTTAGTTTCGGAATATCTGTTTCTTAATAGCCAAAAAAAGGGCTTGTTGGGAAGAGTCTTACTTCCTGTAGGAAGTGTTTGTAGCTTGCCACATAGGCAAGGCCAGTGGACTGAGAAGGCAGCGTTTTTTGGTCCATCTGAGCATCCAAGACCCCAGCGGGCTGCAGCTGGAACAGCATGAGCTTTTACACCAAAGGAGTCATTGCGCACGGGACCCCTAGGAATGCACAGTGAAAAGTTTATAGATGTGGTTTTTAACTTGCCACTGTGTATTTAAATCCCCCAAATGGCTTCTAATGAAGAATTTAGGGGGGAGTGGGGGGGAACGCAGGAGCTTTTGTGACTCCAAAGTAATGCCCCTTTAAATATAAGGGAACTTTCACCTTTGTTGGATGAACAGCATCCCTCTTCCCTCGGGTTCCTGGATATGAGTTGGGGTCAGGATGCGTCTCCAGAACTGCGCTCCAATTCGAGGCTGGTGTCACTTGCATGGGTCTGTTGACTTCCAGGAAGCCATGCCCACATCACATAGAGGAGGGTATTTTCTGCTGAATCCAAGCCGGGGCAGAAGTTCCCAGCTGTAGGCTGAATTAGCTGGGGCTGTAACAATATACCTGTGGCCCTAGATAAGTTATCTGTGTACTGCCTCTTAGGGCACACATGCTATGCCACTCCTGCTAATGGTTAGATGGTCGAGACGTTGTCAAGCTTGGCTGTGTTGGGAAACTATGGAAGGGTTTGAATGGAGCTAGAAATCTCTATCCTGTTTGCATCGCAAGGCTGACAGTGCCAAGGTGTCCCTGTTATGAGCCTCGACAGAGACCAAGCCCTGAGCCTCTCTAGGACTGAAGGCCCACTCTGAACAGAGTCGTGCTGGTGGGACGGGAAATGTGCAGGTGTGGGGTAGTTAAGAGACCGAGGGAACAGTCCATTTCCATGGCCTGCTCTCTGTTTTGCTTCGATGGAGCAGATGTGACTGCAGTGCTGGGAACTATCCTGGGTCTAGTCTCATGCCTCGCTGTTGCAGAAAAGGGTTTTCCAGCATGGGGACTGAGCATCTGAGCTGCTATTTCCCTCGTAGCAAATGGTTGCAGATCTGTTCTCATGCTAGCTGCAAAGGGGAATGTGGATCCCTGCTCTCAGCTGTATGTCATGGATCAAAGGGCTGGGAATCCAAGGTTTGGTGGGGTTAATAAGTGAGATTGGACGGTGGTGGGAAGAACCAGCCAAGATGCTTTGTGCTGGACTTGTAACGTTGGCCCTTTCCTCGACACGGAATTACAGCCAGGTCAGCAGAGCTGGTGGGAAGGCAGCTCGTTCCTCCATCTGGTCTGAATGCGTAGGGCACCCAACCCTTTCCTTACAGTAGGCAGCCCCTTACCCTGAGGGGATGTGTAACCTAGAGGAGACTGGCCCAAGGCCACACAGCAGATCAGTGGCAGAGGCTGGATTACAATCAAGACGGGGTTAGACCCGCATCTGGTGCCCTAGGCCTGGGATTGTGCTGCCTCCGCTGTGTGGAAGCATGGCCTGGATGAGCACGGATGTGGTTCCCTAATGAAAAGGCCCCTGTCCTTTTCATTTTTTCTTGCAACCTGAGTTACTCTTGGGGCCGCTGCAGAGTAGCCAGAAGTGCCAGCAGGATGCCTGGTAGGTAGGTGTCTGCTTCTCTCCAGCTGTCATCACATTGCCCCTGTTACTACCCTAAACAAGGAGGCAAGTCCCCATGGCCTGTATGTTACTTGAGCTTTTGCATTGCTGGAAGGGGTCCCTGCTTGAGGTACCTTGGCAGGGCATTGTTTTGGGAACGGTAAGAGCTTGTGCAGCCACTGCCCAAGTTCTCTCTGTCTGGTTATTTTCTGTCATTCATGCCAAATTCACCTCTAGGGTGTGGCATTCAAACTTGCCTGCCACTGCTGTCTGGAGGTGGACTGGGGAGACGTGTTCCCGCCCTGATCTATCCAGCAGGGAAGTGCTGCAGGATGAAACCCTGGGGCCAGAGCGCTAGGCAGAGATGGAGCGCGTAGCTCTGTTTTTTCAGGTTTTATGGTAGGATAAATTACGGCTGGAGAAGGAAGCCGAGCTGACACCTAGCCTTTGAAACAAGTCAGTGATTCAGCTGCAAAGGCACCAGGGCAGGTGCCTCTCGGGCTTTGCTTGTCATTATACGTAGGTTATGCCAACCGTCTAGCTCTTGCTTTGCACAACTTGATTTAGATAACTGGGCCAAAATTCCCCCAGGAGCCTGCTGGTGTTTCAAACATCCTGTCCGTGCGGCATTTAAATTTAGCGTTGTTTTTTCTTCCCTACAGTGAGCTCAGTGCTAAGGAAAGGGTGCAGCAGTGACAGCTCCTTCGGCTCGTACACCAGACAGGCATGTAGAGAGTAGCAATAGTCTGGAGACCACTATAGGTGGAAGAAAGCTTGTTCAGTTCATGGTGAGGCTTCTTGGAGCTGGTCAAGGTACAGGACCCGTAAGTGATATTGGGGCTGTTTGGTTTGTTTTTTGTTTTTGTTTTTTTCTTCTCCTCCATAGCTTTTAAAGGCCACAATGAACATGCAGCCTAACTTATGTGACACGGGCCTGAGACCCACACCTAGCAGTTCAGGGTGTCAGGGATGTGGCTTCCTGTCCACTTCAGTGTCATGTTGCAGTGCAGATCCTTGTTAAAAGTGACAGTTACAGCTACAGCCAGACTTCTGCAAAGTGAGTACCAGCTTTGCCTGTCTGCCGAGGGCTGTGTGCTTGTCTACAGCCCTAAAGTGCAAAGACATACGTACAGCCTGGATAAGGGTACTGGACATATTTAAATGGCAAGCTGGGCTGAGGGCCAGATCCAGTAAAGTTGGTGGCACTTCTAGGCACCTGTCCACCTCTGCTTGGAAGCCAGAGTCCCCAAAATAGCCCGCAGGAGCCAGGGAGATGCCTCAAGCCGGCATTCATAGCATGCACCTGCCTGTAGGAACTGCTGAAAGTAGGGGTGAGTCTTAAATTGCCACCCATCGTGCATTTACTGCAAGGAGATGCCTCAATCCTTGGGGGGGCCACGGGCCTGAGTTCTCTCCTGGTGCTTGGCACCTGCATGCTCAGTAAGCAGGGCTCCCCGTCTTGTTTTTGAAGGATGGCCAGTGCTGCTGCGGTCCTTGCCACCTCTGCCGCTTGGAGAGTAGCCAACTGCTTGCACCCAGGATGGGGGAGGCCTGGGCTTTATGCCTTCTTCCTCTGCCTGGGGCAATCCACACCCAGGCCTCCTATTTCTCAGGAAGGTCCTAACCACCAGATCAAGAGCTGTTCTAAGTGGGACTGAGTTTCCTGCTAGAGCCAGCCTGCTGGGCAGGACAGAGTGCAAGATGTAGGGGGCCAGAGAAGGCACAGGAGGGAGCCTGCCTGTAGCCTAGACTAGAGGCTTGCACACTCAGCTGGGATGTAAAGGGGGGTCTAGATTACAGTCTCTGTTCCCATAAAACCATAGAAAATGAGGGTTGGAAGGGACCTCATCATCTAGTGTAACCCCCTGCTCAAAGCAGGACCATCCCCAACTACCTCACCCCAGCCAAGGTTTTGTCTTAAAAACCTCCAAGGATGGAGAGTCCACCACCTCTCTGGGTAACCTGCTCCAGTGTTTTACTATCCTGCTAGTGAGAGTTTTTCCTGCTGTCTAACCTCAACTTCCCTTGCTGCAGCTTGAGCCCATTGCTCCTTGTCCTGCCATCTGCCCCCACTGAGACCAGTCCAGCTCCATCCTCTTTGCAACCCCCTGCAGGGAGGTGAAGGCTGCTAGTCAATCCCCTCTCAGTCTTCTGCAGACTAACTACGCCCAGTTCCTCATCCTTTCCTCATAGTGACTGTATACGTTTGTGCTCCCATCTTCCCGGCTTATTGGGACAATGGGGTTTTTAGCACCAGGACTGTCTCTTGTGCATGCACATAATGGAGCCCTGCTCGAGTGGGGACCTTGTGGTACTGCTCTCCCACACAATGGTGCAAGCAGGGAGCCAAGAGGCCTGTTCTCTGTGCTCGCCTGACTCCTCAAGCTATTTCATAACCCCTTAGCTGAAACCCTGAGCTGAGCAAGGCTTTCACTCCTTATGAAACGGTGAGCAACCAGGAACCTCGTCCGTAGCTGTGCCGGGGGCTGGCTGCTGCGCCAGGTTGTTCGGTCTGAAGTGCAGGCTGAGGCAGCCAGATTTGAACTGCGCAGGGAAGAAGGAGCTAGTTTGATTTCCAAGCAAGCCCATGGAGAAAAGGTACAAGCTGGTAGGATGAATAGGTGTACTGGAGGTGTTTTATTTCTTACTTTTTAATATGAATTTAATTTGGAGTCCGGTCTCCCTTTCAGTCAGTGGGCTGAAGGGCTGGGGCCCTCGAGGCTGGCAGTGGGGTGCTGAGAGAGGAGGAGGATCAGTCCTGCTTAGGCTTCGCAGACATGGTGGTGAATTTGGGCTGAAGGTGGGGCAAGAGCTCCTGGAGGGAAGTGCTAGGGCAGATGCAAAGCATCTGGAGGATCCTTTTAGGGAAGGTTGACGCTAGACCAGCCCAAGGACTCAAGTAGGTGGGTCACAGCACAACCCAAAGCTAGATTAAGGCATGCCATGTCACCCACTGCGCCCGAGCGACGGTGTGGCATTGCCCCCAAGTGTCCCAGGGTCTCAGCTCTCTCACAGGGGCAGGGCCTACAGGGAAAGGGGGCTGCTTTTCTTCCCCGAGTGTTTCCCAGCCCGGGAGAGGAACAACGCCACCCCCTGACAGGCGGTGCCGGCCCCGTCACCTCTCCTCAATGTGGGTTATTGCCCATCAGTGATCGCTGCCTGGCTCCCCTCCACCCCTCCCCGGCGCTCCCACCGGCTGCCTGAGATCCCAGGGCTGAGCTGACTCGTGGGATAAATATGGTCCCCAACCCGGCCCGCTATTGTCTGCCCCCAATTCATCCTTGGCGTCAAGGCTTGATTTTTATGGTTGTCGTGCACGCCAGCCAGCGGGCTGCCGCTTTCAGAATGGCAGAAGGTCAATTAAAAGAAGGCAACGAGAGCCATCTCCCCTCTGGGGGAGGCCTTTGAGCGCTGGACCTTTTTTGTGAATCGGTCCCATTGTCAGCTGGAAACGAGAGGGGCTGAGAAGGGACGGAGCTAATGGAGGGGGAGGAAAGCCTCCCTCTCCCCCTGCCCCGACCCATGCCCCCAGAGCCCAGCTTGAGCATTTTCTCTCTGATTAATAGGTCTCCTCCCAGCAGGGAAGGTAGCTTGGGTGGGAAACAGCCAGCCGGCAAAGGCGGGGCAGCACGATGCTCTGGGGCCGGGCATGGCAGGGCTGAGGGGAGCTTTGCTATGAGGGCAGGGTGCAAAGGAGATAGCAGGATGTTGCTGCCACCTGGAAGGATTTGTGTCCCTGCCTGTGCTTGGTGCCAGGGGACACGTTTAATTTGCTGAATTGGGAGCACTTGAGGAGGGGAAAGGGGTGGGAAGCAGCCTGGGGTGGCACCACGGACCCTTCCTGGCTTTGCCCCCTTGCAAGGGCCTGCTGTATGGTCAGTGGTGTCAGACATGCAGCCCCAGAGACTGGAGCCCTCTGGGTCTCGTGTGCTGGGGGCTGCTCCCCCGGCCCCTGAACCTTGCAGAGACTGAGCAAGGTCAGTCAGCGGTCAGCCTCTGGGGAGACCAGGACAGCTGGCAGGTGAGCCTGGCACGTTTTAGTCTGTGCAGCCATCTCTAGGGCAGGCACAAAGTGCGCCGCAGCAAAGGGTGCAAACATTTGCATCCAAGTACAGTGCAGGGGGTTATTAAGGGTCCCTTCTGCCTGGTGGGTGTTTCAGGTCTCCTCCCAATGCACAGAGCTGGAGTTAGCTCTCCTGAAAAAACAAAGGGCTGCCCCTACTGAGGGTTGGCCTTTCTGGTAGCAGGGATGAGGGAGTGCAAGCCCCGTGCTTGGGAAGTCGCAGCCGGGTGTGCGGGAGGAAGTGCCGACTGCCATCGCAGCAGTAGGGAGTGTTGGCAGAAGGCTTTTAGGGCTACCTGAGGCTCAAGGCCTTCCCTGTTCAGGGCTATGAATTGTGTGAGCCCTCGGGAAATGGGGGAGACCAGCCTTAGGGAGAATGCCTATATCGATCTAGACTCATGGTAGAGGTGATCTCTTATTTCAAACAGTTTGCAAAAAAAAATTGTTTTGCAAAAATCTAGTTGGTTTAATAAAAGAGATCACCTCCACCACGCGTCCTGATGGCTTTTACCTCTAGACCAATGCGGCTACAACCTAGATACCTATCTCTAGCTATGCTCGATACCTATAGCTAGGTATGCTCGTGCTCAAGGGATTTCTACCTAACACCTTTAAAAGGAGAACTTGAACACACATGCATCCACTAGCTGGACCCTAAGAGCCAACGGCCAAATATTGATATTGGGTCTATGGCACATTGTAATTTATCCATCTCCTGAATTCTTCCCGCACAAGGAAGTTGAGATTTGACTCTTTTGGTAGGCCTTGATCTCCCCCGGCAATCGGTTTCTCTTTGTCTGCTCATTGTGTGTCTGCTACCTCTGAGTGTTTTTCTCGGCCCCTTTCCTCTACCGTGTTTCACGAGGCCCTGCCTGGCTTCCTGTGATCAGAGACCTGATGGAGAATGTCTTACGTTGGAAAGGCTTGTCTAACTTTATCCTAACGACATCACCTCGTCAATCCAATAAAAGACATCTCCAAATAAAGTCTTGCCTCTCACTTATATCTGAAGCTTGCAGGTGGTGCTGCTGCGCCTTTCGTGTCTCTTCTGCAATGAGTCCCTTTTCCTGCAAGCAAGGCAGAGGGCACGGTGGGCTGGCTGGTGCCTGCCTGTTGGGATGGAGGGGAACTGGGAAAGCTTTACTACCACCGGCTCAGTCCCATGCAGGCTGCAGACGCTGCTGGGAGCGATGCCCCTGCGTGGCAGAGCTTGAGGTCTTGGGTAATAGAGAAGGGATCATTAAATCATCTTCTGTGTCTGAGTGCTGGCGAAACCCAGGTCTGGGGCCTTCATACCCTTGTATGGAGCCCAGTAACTTGTGTCTGGCTAAAACAAGCCTTCCAGAAAAGCATTCAGCCTTCATCTGAAGATGCCAGAAGGTGGAGAAGCTATCGTCCCTTCCTGTGGTCCAGAGTTAATCCCCCTCGCTGTTAAACGGTGGTTCCCCTGCTTTCCCCGTGGCAGGTTAGGATATTGAGTCTCGTGATCATGTCAGGGTTGACCGCGTAATTTTGCTAATACATTAAACAGTGGATTTATCTAGGATGGCTTGGATAGGGATGATCCTGCCGCAGGAAGGGGGTTGCAATAAGCGACCCCTGAAGATCCCTTCCAGCTGGACTTTTCTATCATCCTGTGAAACGCCTGTGCCTTCGTTCCAGTTTGAACGAGCTTGGCTTTAACAACCAGCGATGGAGGCCATAGAGACACCTTTTCTTCTAGGCAGGCAGTTTTGTGACATGGTCCTGGGAGGCCTGATCTGTGCCATAACTTATTCTGCATTCGACAGGGACCAGAACCCCTGGGAAAATCCTTCCTGGGGACGTGCAAGGACTTCTTAGCGAGGCAAAAGCTGTCCCCTTG